GGTAAATAATTACTTCTGAAACGCGAAAGTGAGCTCTAATTAGGGAAGCGAATACCAACAATCGACCTACATCTGCGATTATTAAGGCCCTCATCAAGGAAGCTTTTTGGGCGACGTAGTTGTATACTACCTGTATGAGTGAAAGAATACATTCATTTCTTATCCTAGTTGGCATTTTTACTCACTCAACAAAAATAACAAAATAACAATGTATAAAAGATTGACTCGTTTAAAGTAAAGAGCATACGAATCTTGAATGTTTAACAGACTGAACAAATTATCGTGGAAGGAATACTTTTTCTTTCACAGTCCACATAATGCTTTAATCTATTCTATTGTTCAAATGCTCGTCTTTTTGCACCATGAATTAGCGATTGAAGTTTGAGATTTGCTTTCTTTCTTTTAATTTTATTTCCTCACTTGTATTTAACACCTGTTCTGCTGAAGGTTTTTCATATTTTTGCTCATTCCTCAGTATATACTAGTAAACTATTTAAATCTTTAAAAAAATATTAAAATAGTGATGTAGTTTTGACAATTGAATAATTTTTTTAAATGAGAAGTCGATTTTCTAATACAAATATGAAGCAGATAATTTATATACTATCAATATTATTTTTAATTTGCGTGGTAGTTGTAAATAGTAAATATAACAATAATAGTGATGACGACAATGAAAGTAATGTGAACTCTTCAGGTGATTCAGGCAGCGTCGAATTATTTAATGTAAGCTCAAAAGAAAAAACGAAAAAAGGCAAAGTGTCAGCTCATCTTAGAGCCAAGAATAAAACCACAGGCAGCTGCGGTGAGGGTATTTAATATTTTTAATTAAGCTAAAACTTTTGCGACCTTTTCATATATTCACAAATTTAATTTTTTTGTAGAAGTAAGAAAATGAATCTTCAATCTTAGTTAGCCGTCTGGTGGCGATGTAAGAATATCCACTACCCCATATATTTTTCTTTATTTTGTATTGAATGACGGAATTAGTAATAATACAAATAAAACTGCTCTTTTAAAAGTCTTATTGCCTTGAGTTACGGTCCATTTCAGTTTGTTTTGACTATACAGGTTTAGTGTGACTGTAATTTACGTAGTTTTAATAATTTTCGGGATAAAAAATTACTTATGATAGAAATCGACTCAGTAAACGATTCTGAACAAACTACTTTCAGGATGTGCGTTAATTACGAGGATGTTACATGTTGTATATATATATATTTATAATAATACTTTGACCCCGAGGGTGTCGGGAGACTGCCTGATTGAGACTGGGAGGTGTAAGACAACTCGCTTGCCAAGCGTCGCAACTATTATATAATATGTAATCTCTGAGGGCCAATCTATTGGGTACAGTGAGAGCGAGAATATGGCTCAGCAGTGAATTTGTGATAGGCTGTGATAGCAATGGTGAGAGAAATTATGAAATGTGGTAAGAGAATCATTTACGTGGTAGAGCCACGTCGCAGCTATATTATGGATGTAGCACGAATCGGCTCGACCGGGGTAGGACCACGCTCTCACAGAATACCAGCGTAAAATTGCAGCTTGATATTGCTGCGTTTCGTGTGGTGATTGTAGAGAAACGGAGGTACCCTTTTTACTGGAAACGAGGCATTCCATCGTAGTTTATGTTTCTTGTATATATTAATGACTTACCTTACATAGTAGGGGTTAACCATGATATAGTATTATTTGCTGATGATACTTCATTAATTTTCAAATTAAAACGACAGTTATTAAATTACGACGAAGTAAATAATGCTATAGCTAAGTTAGTCAATTGGTTTAATGTTAATAATTTGCATTTGAATGGAACTAAAACTAAATGTATGAAATTCGTTACTCCTAATGTTTAACATGTCAATACTAATGTAATTTTAAATGTGGAAGAACTGAGTCTTGTTGATACCACCATTTTTCTTGGAATCACACTGGACGCAAAGCTTTAATGGCTCCCGCATATATCAAAACTAGCTAGCAGACTTAGATCTGCAGCTTAAGCTGTAAAAAAGATTAGAACTCTTACCAGTGTTGAAACAGCTAGAATAGTTTACTTTAGTTATTTCCATAGCATTATGTCGTATGGTATTTTGCTATGGGGACACGCGACTGACACTGAAATTATATTTATTTTACAGAAGAGGGCCATTAGAGCAATATATAATTTAAAACCAAAAGAGTTACTGAGACAAAAATTTAAGGCAATTAATATATTAACTCTGGCCTCTCAATACATTTATGAAAATGTGATGTACGTACATAATACATTCTGTAAATACTAGGAGCAGACACAAGCTAGTAGTACCAGTTACTCGACTCCACCGAGTCGGTAATTCATTCATGGGGCAATGTTATACGCTTTTACAACAAAATTCCAGAAAATATACAAAATTTGTCGTACACAAAGTTCAAAAATGTTACTAAGTTTGTACAAAAAGTTATTACTTATAATATTAAGGAATTTATGGATGATAATAACCCCTGGGAAGGGTGATCGCTACCAAGCTATTTCTAATTTGTCTTGTGTTGTTAATTGTAAACATGATTGTAAGCTATTATTAAAAAAAAAAAAAACAGTCCCGCTGGGTTTCTTGCTGGTTCTTCCCAGGACAGAGGTTTTTTTTTGGGAACCAGTGGTAAATGAAAAAAGTGACTTTCAATAAGTATTGTTATAATCTACATTGAATAAAAAAGTTTCTGTATTTGTTTCTGTAGTCCTTAGGTGTGACAACACATCTGCATTTTGATGCTTACTTGAGGATAAATGTGGATGTCTATGGGCTACAGCTCCACTTATCATCAGGTAGACTGTGTGTTCGCTTGTTACTCCTAGTCCATAAACAATAACAGTCCAACCGTCTCGATCAGATCAGAGCTAAAATATCTAGATGAGAGACGTGAGCAAGCTCGAAGGTGTCGTCAGTACACCTGCCAAGCGTGATCCTCACAACAAGAAAAGCCACATCCAGGAAGCTGAAAATGAATAAGAATAGAATAAAAACTTCTCCGATTGTGAGTGCGGTTGTTAATACATTTGGACGACAAATGAGTGAACCAGCGTAAAATAGCAGCACACCGCTGATGTGTTTCGTATGGGTAGTCCTTTTTACTGGTGATGAGGCGTTCGATTTTGAACTTCAAGGGTGACAAAGCAACTGTTATTTGATTGTTAATGCACGTTATATGGACCGTGTACTCATCTTCTTTCTATATATAAAAATCTATGGCTGTCCATTAGTCACGCTGTAGCTCGCAAACGGCTCAAACGATTTTGATGAAATTTTTTGAGTGCGTTTGAATGGGTGATTTAGATTCTCAATTGGACCCGGTTAAATTTATAGTATAGTTGTAGCACGAATGAGTTGGCTCGACCGAGGAAGGACCACGCTCTTACAGAATATCAACGTAAAGTAGCAGCTTAATACTGCTGTGTTTCGTATGATGGGTGTAGAGATTCTTTTAGTCTTCAGGGGTGATAATGCATCTGCATTTTCATTCATAATCGAGGATATATATAGATAGATGTCTATGGACCACGGCCACCCATATATGGCATAAGGTGGATTGTGTGCTCGTTTCTAACATTTATTCTATAAAAATCCAGCTCATCTGAAGCAGTAACTTATATAACTATAACTTCATCACTTGTCTATTGAGCCGGGAGAGCGGGAGACCTGAATTTCATTTGGTGTACGACGCTATAAGAAAATGTTATAACATATATAGTATTATAGCTGGGGAAGAGGTTCATATAACCTGAAGCTGCGTAGGCTATATTTTAAAGTAAGCCGATGGAGCCAATGGATTGTCAATGAACAGAAATCATTACATAATAAAAACCTGGAGAACAAACAAAAAAGGTGGTGGATCACAGAAGAAATGATTTCACAACTTAGAGAAATAGTTAATGAAAAGTTTACCGTTACAGCCTGTTAAAGTCCACTGTTGAACATAAGCCGGCCCTATAGATTTCCTCACAGGGAGATATTTGCCATAGACACATGGCAGGCGAGGCAACTATGGCAACTATGGCAAATACCGCAACAGCAGCTATTATTAGGTTATTAGGAAGCCGTTGCTGCCTATCTCCTGATTTGTTTCCCTCTGTCGGTGCTTACGATACCCATGCAACGATATGGGGGGGGGGGGTGGATATTCTTACGCGGTAATGAAATGTTTAAGCATAATATGTATGTACATGCCGGCGTCAATAAAATTTATTTTTTAAATTTCGAATATCGGATGTTTTGTTTTCTCGCAGGTAGCAAAAGCAAAGATTGTCCGAATGGGATTGAAAAAAAAGAAGAAAAAACGCCGAAAGTTAAAAGTAAATCGCACAGATATCCTTTTTCTGTGTCAGTACAGCGGAAGGGTACCCATTACGCTACCGGAGCATTAATAGATAAAAAATGGGTACTCACTGTGGCCGAAGAGTTTTACAAGTAAGTAAAATTTGACTTTCAGTAAATTTTTCATAATAAAATGCGACTTAACAGCCATCTGCTATTCTATTTTTTCTTCTTCTTTAACCGCCTGAAAACTCAAGGAATGTCACAAAACACGGTCCTGAGCAACCTGCTTCCATCGACTTGATGCATGTCTTACCAGGTCGTCACTCTATCCAGCGGAGGGGGGGGGGGGTTTACATTTTGCTGTCGGTACGAGGCTGTCACTTGAGTACTTCATCGGTTGTCAGTTCTTTGAGCTATATGATCGGCCCATTGCCACTTCAGCTTACTATTGCGTTAGGCTACTCTCTTGCCGGTTACACTGGTCCTATGGCGGATATCCATATAATATATAAATAGATTAAATAATGGCCACTTATCACGATTATTATTTACAGTGTGAGGGAGTCAATACGATTCTTCAGGGTACGATTGGGTACTGTGAATTGTAAGAAGGGGGGTTCATTGGTACCAATCAAACGTGTGGAAATACATCCATTATACGAGTACAAGAGCCCAAACTTCGACATTTCTTTGTTACGACTGGCAATGCCCGTGGAGTTTTCGGAGCATCTGCAACCCATACCCTTGTCCAAGACCAAGGGAAAGGTGCTGAGTGCCAAGTTCTTAGCGACATATTGGCCAAGATTGATTGTAAGTATTCTGTTATACATAATAGCGAAATTCTTTCTTGACCAAATTATTTTTCGGTTCCGTAAATTTAAAAATGACTTTCATTACCTGTTAAACTATAATTAAAGTATGTAGATATATATATATATATATATATATATATATATATATATATATATATATATATATATATATATATATATATATATATATATATATATATATAGATATAGATATATATTTTAATGATATAGACAAAAATGTTGTATTCCATCCTATTATATTCTATTACAATCTATTCCTTTCCGTTCTTTTACGAGTATGTTCTTATTTATTTTCCGGGTTTGCAACTCAAACGAAACACTTATGAATCATTTTATTGTCCCTTCGACCGTCAAGATCCATTTCCTCAGGAAGACGTAACTATACCAACCATCTATACGTCCACTACTAAATATAGCCTCCCGCATAGATTGGCTAGATTGGCTTAAGATAAAATTTCCACAGTCGCCACGCTTGGCAGGCAAGTTGTTAACTGCAGTTTTTATAATTTTAAGTTGTTTTCGGGAGGATGTTGTTGGCTATTACCTGTTTCAGTTTCAGTCCGTCGCCTCATGCGACACCCACGGGACCTTAAGGTGTAGTGGATATCCTTACACTACCCCTGCACGGTTCACCAACTAAATAGATGTAACCAAGCAGAAACTAATATTAAATACTAATTTCTACGGTATATTGTCTTGTTTTATCTTTAATAGTCCGCAATAATCCAATGCCTAGCAATAACTTGAGTATACTAATAATTCACATAATTTATGAAAAATTGAGACAAGATCGTTTGAAAAAATTGGTTCTCCAGTGGCAGATTCATACTGGCTAGTGCAGTTTTGGGTAACCTCCAGAGACGACCTGATGAAACATGCAGGTGGTTGATGGATACAGGGAGTGCTGGATTAGAGTTTTGGGTAACCTTCAGAGACGACCTAAAACTAGGTAGGATACAGGGAGTGCTGGATTAGAGTTTTGGGTAACCTTCAGAGACGACCTGATGAAACATGCAGGTAGTTGATGGATACAGGGAGTGTTGGATTAGAGTTTTGGGTAACCTTCAGAGACGACCTGATGAAACATGCAGGTAGTTGATGGATACAGGGAGTGCTGGATTAGAGTTTTGGGTAACCTCCAGAGACGACCTGATGAAACATGCAGGTGGTTTATGGATACAGGGAGTGCTGGATTAGAGTTTTGACAGCCCCAGGCTTATTATGAATATGCGCTCCCCTATCGGCTTTTTCTGTCTATACCTGTCCAGTCCACGAATATATTTACTAGACTTTTTTCGGCTGGAATTAAGCCGAAAAATTTGTCTAAGTACCCTTCGTGGAAAATGAAATGGGACGCAAAATTTATTCGCAGAGCTAGTAAATCGAGTCCATCAGTAAGAACTCGGCTGTCGACGATTCGAACTACTTTTATTCAGTTCTTGACAGTAAACATCTGCAGTAATGTTCATCCCATTTGGTAAGAAGCTGTGATGAATCACACCGGCGATAGACCACCAAACATTGACCATCACTTTCCTTGGGCTAAGTTTTTGTTTAGGGCATTGTTTAGGTGCTGATGCAAAATCCAACCAACTTGCTGAGCGTTGGCGATTGTTAAACAGAACCCATGTTCATCGCAGGTACCAACGCGGTTCAAAATTCATTAGTTTGTGTGCCTGTTGAGCAGTGAAAGGCACGTCTCGACGCGTACTTCGCGCTGGCGATCATTAAGTTCATGGGGCACCCGTTTCTCAAACTTTTTACCTTGCCAATTTGACGCAAACGAACCAATATTTTTGATGCTCACGTTGAAAACTGCTGCAAATTCAGCCGTAGATTGAGTATTATCAGCTTCCACAACTGCCTTTAATTCATTTTGTCGAGTTAAGTTTTCTGAACCAGGGGGTTCATTTTTCAGGTCGAAATGTCCAGAACGGAAGCGGGCAAATCAATAAATAGATGGTGGTGCTGTTTGTAGTGCTCATAAACCATAAGTAATAATAATCCAATAATTTTTTAAAGTATCTATGATGACGAAAAAGATTTAATTACGATGAAAACAAATCGCTAATCAATAAAAAGATTCTAATTTTGAAAAAAAAAAAAAACATTTTGAAATAATTTGAAACTAGAATTCTTAGTCAAACAAAAATGTTTGATTTGAAATGGCTAGTATTGCAGAACGGCAATTCACGGGTAAAGACCCATTATTAAAGTACTACATTAAGATATTTAGCAGCGTTGGACTCGTACAGGAGTGTTACATAACTCTTTTAACTTTAAGGAACAGCTTTGAAGTTTTACAATCTATATTTTTAATGTAGGTCAAAGGACAAGTGCTGCCGTCATCAGCGCAAGAACGCGTTAAACCAAATAGCATGAGGGTGTCCACACAGAAGATGATACCGTGGGACTGGTGTCACAGCGTCATGACAACGCTCAACCACACTTTGGACGAGTCAAGTTTGTGCTTAGACCCCATAATGTCGCACCACAGTCCCTGTCTCGTAAGTATAATTCAGACATTTTCATTATAGCTAAGAGGTATACGTGGTAGCGCCCCGCTGCAGTTATATTATGGTTACAGCATGAATGAGTCGGTTCTACCAGGAAATTACCACACTCTCACAGAATATCAGTGTAAAATAGAAGCTCAATGCCTACTGTGTTTGGTATAGTGAATGTAAGGAACCGGATACCCATTTTACTGGAAATGAGGCATTTCATCTTAGCCCTTAATCGAGGATAAATGTAGATACTCTCTGAGCCACGGCATCCACTTACCATCAGGTGAACTTTGTGATCTTTTATCACGCTTAGTCTATAGAAAAGGTGTAAGGGGTGTAACGACTTTATTTTCAAAATAACCACCCCACGCCGTTGTTCAAACTGCTTATCTACTAATAAAAGAGGATTTGGTCATCGACCACGTGTGATATTATATCGATTGGTAAAACATTTAAAATATTTTATTTATATTGCTAATAAAAGTAGAAGGTTCATATGTTTTCGTATGTATGTTATATTATACACTATCTTGCTACTGGGCATCCATGAATTTTTTTGTTATCAAGTCGGCGCCAAGTAGGAATGAGGTAAAATATTTGACAGATTTCATAGCTGGGCAAGTTAAATTGTTCGGAATATACAAGGGTTAGCAATAGACAAATCAAACTAAGTGTAATCTTAAAAGTGGAAAAATTAAAAAATGTTTCATAAATGTGCAAAAAATTTATGAGCAAACCACTGAGGTATTGTTTTGTGTATTTACACACTAGAAACCTGAAACTGACACCTGAAATGACAAGTGTCTCCAAACTGTTCACCTCAGTCCTAACGAGCGACATTTGAGGAGCGTAAAATTATTAGCCCTCGTTGTGAACAGATTCTTTATATAGAATAAAGTTGACAAACGAGCACACAGTCCACCTGATGGCAAGTGGTTGCTGTGGCCCATAGACATTTACATCTATCCTCGATTAAGAATCAAAATGCAGATGCGTTGCCACACCTGAAGACTAAGATGGAATGCCTCGTTTTCAGTAAAAAGAGTCTCCGGTTCTCTACACCCATAATACGAAACACAGCAGTATTAAGATTGAAGCTATTTGACGCTGGTATTCTGTGAGAGCGTGGTCCTTCCCCGGTCGAGCCAACCATTCGTGCTACAACCACAACATAGCTGCAGCGAGGCTCTGCCACGTATAAATATATTTCATGATTATAGGACGCCTCATGAGGCGAAGCGTATTCAGGTTGTGCTTTACTCTCGACACATCAAGGTCAAGAAATTTTGTGTTTCTTAAAATGTCTCTATCATCAATCATAATCATGTTGCACTTATACAATAATACGAGTAGCCGTATATCAAGGAAACACTAATTTATCGATCTTTCCTAAAAAGACATTTTAAATTGATCCTTTGAAAAAACGGTTTCAAATTTTTTTTATGTGGACGTCTGGATTTTGATTTTGTATGTGGTCACGATAACTCCCGAAAAATTGACGTATCGAGATCGGGTTTTTTTATTAGCTTCAGAATTACATCAACTGATTCGCTATTCAATAGCCTAGTATGCGCAGTTTGGTAATAAAATGATTTTCCACTTTTATTGCTATTAAATTTTCAAAAATGCTTTAATTTTTTCTAGCCTTTGGCAGACAAAGAACAAAAAAATGTTCCCCACAGTCTGTATCTTTTATATTTTGTATAATCGATTTATTTCATTCATCATTATCATCATCATTACAGCCCTTCACAAGTCCACTGCTGAACATAGGCCTCCCCCAAGTAATGCCACAAAGCACGGTCCTGAGCCACCTGCATCCATCGACTTCCTGCATATCTTACCAGGTCGTCACTCCATCTAGTGGGGGGTCGAGGCTACCACTCGAGAACCTTTCTTCCTCATCGGTTATCGGTTTTTCGACCTATATGGCCGGCCCATTGCCACTTCAGCTTACTAATCCGTTGGGCTATGTCGGTCACTCTGGTTTTACTGCGGATATCCTCATTTCTGAGTCTATCACGCAGAGAAACTCCGAGCATAGCCCTCTCCATAGCTCGCTGAGCGACCTTGAGCGTCCTCATACGGCCAGCAGTGAAGGACCACGTCTCTGATCCGTAAGTCATCACTGGCAACACGCACTGGTTGTACACTTTAGTTTTCAGAGATTGAGGTATACCTGACGAGAAGATGTGTCGTAATTTCCCGAACGCTGCCCAGCCGAGTTGAATCCGTCGATTGACCTCTCGGTCGAAGTTGGACTTACCTAGTCGGACTATTTGTCCCAGGTAAACGTACTCGTCAACAACTTCGAGCATAGTGCTCCCAACAACTACCGGCATAGGTGTGACATGGACATTAAACATGATCTTTGTTTTGTCCATGTTCATCTTAAGACCTATCCGTTGGGAGGCACTATTGAGGTCATTGAGCATAGTGCTTAAGTCCTCCAGCGTAGGTAAAAAAATTTCCCTGTAGGTAAAAAAATAACATACATACATAACTTGTTAAAATAATAGAACGCAAATTTCAAAACACGTAAATACCTAATATATTTTAAAAGTTAGGAATACAATTTTTTTTTTCAAAAAATTAAATGAAACGCTCATGAAGCGTGCACTTCTGGATTTCCAAACTAGTTTTTATTAAATAGGTCCAATTTTAATTTTACCCTATAGGGTGTGAAATTTGTACCTAGAGGACAAATTGTAACTTTTTTATTGTTAGGTACTATGGTAACGACGTTCTAGTTTATTATGTTGAGGTTGTGATACTGCAACAGCGGACAGCCACGACTTTTTCTTCCACCAGGGCGGCGCCACCTAGGAATGAGGTAAAATAATTAACAGATTTCATAGCGGAGGAAGTTAATTAATTAGAAATGTGAAGAGATTAATGTTTATTTCCGAAATTTTTAATTTATTTCAAATTTATTAAATTAGAAATGGATCAGTTCAAATTAGGACTGTTGATATATTTTTATTATATCGGATTTTCGATATATCGATAAACTTATATATAAAACACCGATATTCATATATTTATAATCATCGATATATCGAAAAGCCGATATTTAAAAAAATATTAAGAGTCCTAGGTTGAACTGATCAGTTGGAATGATCAGTTGAACTGACCGCGTGTGTCATCCATTAGTGTTCAGAAGATAAAAACGAATTAAAAAATATTTGATCATTTTAAGTTTTAATGATAGATTATTTTTGTTTTGTTGCATGTCTCTAACAGTATTTTTATTTACAATCATTTTTTTACACGTTAAGGGGACAAGCGAACGCACAGTCCACCTGATGGTAAGTAGATGCTTAGGCTTATAGATATTTACATCTATCCTTGATTGAGAATCAAAATGCAGATGCATTGCCACTCCTGAGGACTAAGATGGAATGCTTTGTATCCAGATAAAGGGTCTCCGGTTCTCTACAATCAACATACGAAACACAGTGGCGTTAAGTTGCTATTTTATGCTGGTATTCTGTGAGAGCGTGGTCTTAACCCGGTCGAGCCAACTCATTCGTTCTACAACCATAATATAGCTGCAATGGCTCTACCACATATAAAGTGTGTAATAATCTTGACACAAATCAAAAGTCCAACAATGTTTATTCTGTCTCCAGCCGGATGCCGGGGCACCAGTAACAGCTGACGATGGCTTATGGGGGCTCACGTCGGGCTGGACATCAAAACACTGCCTCTCACAACCGAGCCCGACTCTCTTCACTCGCATATCCTCGCCACTCGTGGATTCCTGGTTGGATTCGACGTTGACTGATCAATGATGTTTGTTGTTAGAAACTTCTAGTTTTTTAAAGTCAAAAGAATGCCATTATCGCTATCTCGCAGATATCGAGAGATAAATAAATATAAGAAAATTTATCATGTAAGCTTATTTCCATCAGTAATGTTGAATGCGTTTCTTGGCTGAATAACTATGTGTTTTTTATTTAATATTTATTTAGTTTTTTAGCAGATTCGTTGAAAGAATCTATATGTGTGCTTGTAAAGTAAATTTAAATTAAAGTTGCTTGATAACCTAAGTAGTTAAAGTTTTATTAAATTATTTTTCATCTAAATTTTAGGTTTTATTAAATTATTTTCTCTTTTAAATCATTGTAAATTATTATTGTATTTTTATAATAAATACTTAGAAGAAAACTTTCGTGTCTTCTATTTTTTTGTCTATGTCATTGGGCACTTTTCCATTCTCCGGCACGGCAGCGGTGCCAGTGCCGATTTACGCTCGGTTTTTAGGCAGTACCACAGCTTAAAGACCTTATCTCTTCTCTTTAAACTGTGGCAGTACTAACACAGATTTCAGTTCTACAACACGTAAAATCGGTTTCGTCGAGTTGTCGTATTTGTTATATCTCTTAAATTTAAATATGGAGTGTAGAAGTAAGGAGTTCCAACTCCCATAGTAGAATAGTTGAAAGTGGCCACCTGTAAGCAGTAAATAACAGTTCAAAAACTCTCCACAATAGCGCTGGAGTAGCTACTGGGATGAACTTAGCAGTTGTCGACGGTTTAAGTGTGCTAAACTGCTCAGTAACTCTAAAATCTAAAATAATTTTATTTAGTAAATATAACCTCGAAAAAGTTGTTAAAATTTACCCCGTAGCTATAGTGGCGCCACACTTAAAGGTATATATATAGCCAATAAAGGTTTTTATGGACACTTTTTAATACACAGTCTGTACTCCTTTAAACAAAAATATAATAAACGCAGATAAGTCAAATTTTGAGTTCATACAATCCAAAAAATAAGGTTTTTAGAAGGAACATATTAAACCCTATTTTAAAAGTTGAAAATGGACTTCAAAAATTATTTCAACTGCTTCCGCATGATTGAGGAGACATTTCATCATTTTACAAGTCAATTTCGAGTCGCAATTTCAAAGCGTCCCTTCTACCTCATAAAATATATAAAAGGAAATGATAAATATACATAAATATATATTTCATATACTAACATAAATAAATAAAAGCCCAACCAGACGGAGGCCCTCGGCAGGCAGACCAAACGGCCGAGGGTTATGGAGACAGGTAAACAAACCGGTAGACGATGCGGGCGGTTTGGAGGAGCACCGCATTCTGCATTATTATTATTATTATTATTATTATTCAACTAATTGTAAATAATTTCATTGTTCTTATAAAAACAGAAAATGATTCGATCTTGATTTTTAATCTTGATTTATAATTTAAGGCATATAACAATTTGGGATTCGTCTTGCGGGCCTGCAAGGCATTTACGAATATAGGCTCATTGAAGGTTGTATACTGTGCATACTCGTATATACGTAGTCTGCTAGAGTACGCTAGTCAAATTTGGTCCCCTCAATACAAGGTCTATAAAGAACGCCTAGAGCGCATACAAAAAATCTTTTTAAGACACATCTCGTACCGGCGTCGTCGGTCGCACGATCATATACCCGAGTCTGTCACGAAAATGGTCTATTAACTTTGGAAGAAAGACGGGACATACTAGATGTTTGCTTCCTATTTGATATTGTTCGGGACAGAGTAGACTGCTCAGATCTGTTGCATAAAGTAGCATACTGCGCTCCTAGGCGTAGAACATGTCACACTCCGCTATTAAATGTGCCTCAACGTCGCACTAACTACGGATCTAATACTGTCTTGGTTAGGTTACCCCGAACATACAATGCAAAGTTTAGCCAGGTTGACTTATTTCGCTCAAGTAAGTCAACTTTCAAAAAGAAGATGAGAGATATCATCAAAAACTCTTATAAATTTTAAGCGCTACAAACAAAAGTTGTACTATAAACTTTTCTTTTCTTTTTGTCTTTATCTTGTATCTTTATATCTGTGTGTCTCTATAATGGGTGGTACTTATATATTACTTCCGGAAACATGTACAATGTATTTCTTTACTTGATTTGTTTTGTGCCGTGTATAGTTTAGAGTATTTAGTTAACTATCTATGATATTGATAGGTTTAAGCGGATGGCATCCTTGAATTCCTTGGTATATTTATAGAGTTAACTTGAGCACTAACAAAGTCTGATTGTTGCAGTGTCATTTGTTAATTTAAGGGAAAACTGTTATTGGCATTAATACATTACATATAGTTATAAGATATATAATTTGTAAAGCTGTTGGTTTTCTTAATGAAATAAAATAAAAATATAATAAAATAAATAATTTTTTTAGGCTAAAATCGATGCAAGTGATCGATTTAGTACTATACATCGATTTAATAAAATCGATCTCTTTTGCACAAGAAATCGATTCTTCGAATAATCGATCTCAGATCGCCATGCCTACTTAATAATCACTTCTCTAAATAATAAAATAATAATAAAAATGAATTATTTTCAGCAATATACAATTAATAAATATTTACATTAACAAATAAATTTAAAGTCCCTGACTCCTAAAGTAGGTGAAACCATGCTATTATTTATTCTGTGGTAAAACCTGTATCTCAGGAGCTAGTGTCTTCTCACTAAAATAACCTTATATAGATAAATACACTTATACGTTGATAAAAATAATAAAATCTATTAATTAAAATAAAATTAATATATTTAATGTATAGAAATGTGGGTGTGTATACTAGTGCACTCGCGCGTGTGTGCGTGCGTGCGTGCGTGCTGTGTGTGTGTGTGTGTGTGTGTGTGTGTGTGTGTGTGTGTGTGTGTCTGTGTGTGTGTGCGGGCGTGCGTGCGTGTGCGTGCGTGCGTGTGCGTGTGTGTGTGTGCGCGTGTGTGTGTGTGTGTGTGTGTGTGTGTGTGTATGCGTGCGTGCGTGTGCGTGTGCGTGTGTGTGTGCGTGTGTGCGTGCGCGTGCGTGCGTGAACATGCGTGCGTGTGCGTGCGTGCGTGTGCGTGTGTGCGTGTGCGCGTGTGCGCGTGTGCGTGCGTGGTGTGTGTGTGTGTGTGTGTGTACGTGCGTGCGTGCGTGTGCGTGCGTGCGTGTGCGTGTGTGTGTGTGTGTGCGTGTGCGTGTGCGTGGGCGTGTGCGTGTGCGTGTGCGTGCGCGTGCGCGTGCGCGTGCGCGTGTGCGTGTGCGTGTGCGTGTGCGTGTGCGTGTGCGTGTGTGCGTGTGCGTGTGCGCGTTCGTGTTGTGTGTGTGTGTGTGTGTGTGTGTGTGTGTGTGTGTGTGTGTGTGTGTGCGTGTGCGTTTGCGTGTGCGCGTTTGGGTGTGTGTGTGTGTGTGTGTGTGTGTGTGTGTGTGTGTAAACATGGATATGATGTTCGGAAGGTTAGTTGCAACCAAACTCTTGAAGAATGACAGTAATTCTATAGAAAAACTCGCAAAATTGCTGTGTGTTGTTTCTTTCGTCTCTTCTTAATAGATTAAAGGAATAAAAAAACTGAAACTGAACTAAAACGTTACATTTGTAATCTGTGAAAAAATGTGTTGTATCTTTTTATATTGTAATTATAAACTCATACAATATACTTACAATATCATCAAACCTTATAAATTTAGCATAGGCTTGAGTAGGTTTTTAAAGTCTAAGTAAGTGCGGTTTACCATCTTTAGCTTCATCATCAATTGCCATCAGATGGAACAGTAGGTAAGCACCGACACGCGAATTTAGAATTTTCTCCTCTATTTGATTTCCGGTAAAAATAAAACTCAATTGAAACCCTTAGAATTATATTCAAATATCACAAATCTTTGTTCTATTCGATTTGTACAGTTCACTTACCAAACATTCATAAAACAATTTTAAATGACGCTTAACATTATATCTACTTTTTTCTTAGTACAGTCTCAATCTCTTCGTCACTTTTGCCTTTGGTTTCTAGTAAAAATATAAGGGTGACGAAAAAACCCAACAAGTTGACTCCAGCAAAACAAAAAAATGTAGAGTGCGGTCCTAAAAATGAGGTAATTGGCGCATACAGAAACAATTGAACGAATCTCATTAACCACGCGAATGTCACGGCAAGGCCCATCATTTTTGCACGAATCTGAAAGAAAGAAATTTCAATTTAGAATTACCTACCCAAAAAACTAAAAATAAAAGTACTTTTAATATTAATAATAATGACCTCCAGACCGAATTTTGTCATAGTGGCTAGTCTTAACGGAGTCTAGTCATCTGCGCAGGACAGTGCCCAAGTGTATAAGTGCTCACTCTCATAATCCGATGGGACAGTAATCCGACACGACCGGAGAGAGATCAGGCACAGGACCAACGGCTTTACGTGCTCTCCGTGGCACGGGGGTGAGACACCGCCAACTTCCTGACTCCAGGATGCTGCTGAGATTTTGACCAAACCCGGGGTTAGAACCCGGTACCCTAAAATCATCATTCGCAATTTCCAACCATTACCATTACTGAAGAGGCAGTAATACTAATTTTACTCAATTTATCCTGCTTAATTTAAGCTTATATATAATGTATATAAGCTTAAATTAAGCAGGACGTCGTGTATTCTGCAGCACCCCTGGCCTCCAATAAGGTCCACTCCTGAACATAGGCCCTCCCCACAGATTCTCTCATAGTGGGCGTGACTATGGATGTTCGCCTTGGTTGCCACGCTGCACGGGCCGGTTGGCGTCCGTAGTTTTTTATTTTTTGTTGTTAAATGTTAGGAAGACGCTGCTGCCCGTCTCCTAGTTTATTTTCTTCTGTCGCCCCTGACGAAATCCAAAGAACGATAAGGGACAGTGGATATTCTTACATCGCCACAACATGAACAATGAAAAAATAACATTCATATCAAAAGAATCACTGAAAGCTCTTGTCCCGAGTGGTTTGCTCGCACGCGCAATGGGATTAAAGTCGGCGGTATGAACA